TAGTATCTCAACTAAAGGCTGCCAGCTTCTCCCAAGCAAGTTTCTGGACCCAACTATGACAGGAGAGATTCTATGGAATCAAGGCAGTGTGGCCATTTCCAGTTCACTAAACATGGATTAAAGCGTGTGTGTGTGTGTGTGTGTGTGTGTGTGTGTGTGTTGGCCCTGGGACTGGAACTCAGAGCTTGGGCGCTGTCCCTGAGCTATTTTTACTCAAGGCGAGCGCTCTACCACCTGAGCCACAGCACCATTTCTGGTTTTCTGGTGGTTCATTGGAGATCAGAGTCTCCCAGACTTTCCTGCCCGGGCTGGCTTTGAACTGCGATCCTCACATCTCAGCCTCCTGAGTAGATAGGATGACAGGCGTGAGCCACCGGGGCCTAGCATGGGTGAGACTCTAATTAATCACCAAGAAAGCCAGGAGTGGAGCTGTGGCTCCAGAGGTAGAGCACCAGCCTTGAGCAAAAAATGAGCTCAGGGACAGCGTCCAGGGCCTGAGTTCAAGACCCACGACTGACCAAAAAAAAAAAAGAGAAGACTTGTGACCCCCCACTGTCCAATTCTTTTCCAGAAGGACTGGCGGACTTAGTTGCCCGCGTCTGAAGCGCCTCTTCTCCACTTCCTCTTTGGCTTCCTTGGGCCCTATCAATACAAAGTTAGTCACTGAGTATTTATTCCTAATATAATTAGGAACGTGAGGGGGGTAGGGAGGGAGAGAGGGCGCCTGTCTATAATACCAGCCACCTGGGGAAAGAAAGATGGGATGGCTCCAGGCAAGATAGAATCAAAAGTTAGTGAAATTCTTCCCCCCCCCAAATAACAGCAGCTGGAGATATAGGAAGATCTGTGGGGACCCCCTCCCGCTGCCCCCCGAGAGGAGAGCTCCTCTGAAAAAATAACCAAAACAAAACCCGGCACCAGTTCCCCAAAGCTGCCATCCAAGCCCCTCAGAAAGCTGCGAGCCGAGGCTTGTGGTCTGAAGCCAGCCCAGGGGGAAAAGACCAGGAGACTCTGGCCCGCAATTAACCAGCCCCCCCCCAAACCCCCACAAATGAGGGTGTGGTTCGAGGAGAAAGCACCAGCCGCGAGTGAAGAAAAACCAGGTAAGAACATAAGCCCTGAGTTCAAACCCAGAACCCTAGTAACTAGTACTGGAGAGAGAGACAGAGACACTAGAAATAGTAGCGTCTTTAGAGACAGATAAATAGAGGGAGACAGATTATATGCTTCTGTGGAGAGTAGATCAAGATATACTGGTGAAAGCTAGCTGATGAATAGATAGCAGAGATGGAGGCAGATAAGATAGAGATAGATGTATAGAGGGATAGATTGTCTGCTTTCTTGGATAATAGATCAACTTAGAATAGTAAGAGATAGATGGATGAATAGATAGGAGATAGACAGATAAAAGAGAAACAGAGAGATCAGGGAGAGATGGAGAGATAGATAGATAGATAGATAGATAGATAGATAGATAGATAGATAGATAGATAGACAGATAGACAGACAGATAGATAGATAGATAGATAGATAGATAGATAGATAGATAGATAGACAGACAGACAGACAGATAGACAGACAGACAGACAGACAGACAGACAGACAGACAGACAGATAGATAGATAGATAGATAGATAGATAGAGATGGAGAGATAAGAGATAGAGAAGATCGATGGATAGATATAGATATAGAGCAAAAGGGCCAAAGGGGCCTGGCTCCAAATGTAGAGCACCTGAGGAGTAAGCACCAGGACCTGAGTTCAAATCCCGGCACT